GCTATCGAAATTGAAACTGCAAGAGAAAGAGACCGCCAAAATGAACCATCTGGTTAAAGGGGTGTTCTGTAGTGTGGATGAGAAATTGGTGGGTGTGGACCGATCCATACCACACCTTGTGGCAGGGACCAATCCACACCACACCATAGTCTATAGTTGTTCTAAATTGTGGACAAACAGTGTCGACTGGACCAATCCACACCCACAATGGTGGTCTGTAGCATGGTGTGGACCAGTTCACACTACACTTTTTTTATTTCATGTATCTCATATACATTTTATGAATGATATACATAATTAATCATAAATATCTCATTTTTGCATTTTATATGATAAATATTTTGAAAAATGCATCAACGAATTAATATTACCCAATAAATATTATTTTTTTATAAAACAATAGTAAAACAATTAAAAAATTAAAAAAAAATTAAATATTTAAAAATATTATTTTATTGATAAAAACATTAAAAATTTATAAAAATTAAGTAAAATAATTAATATTTTATTGAAAAAAATATTTAAAATAATATTAAAACGATTGATAAAAGAAAAATAGGGTTTCAAAGAGACTTGTGAAGCATGGGATCAAAAATAAACCGTGGAGGGGACGCATCCACGAGTTTTTGCCGTTGACGATATATTGGGGTGTGGGCGGGACCGGTCCACACTATATTGGGGTGTGGTGTGGACCAGTCCCGTCCATACCCAACCGAACGGTCCCGTCCCCAAGATGAACGCGATGCCAAACACCGCCTAAGTTTGTTGGTCCAGATTGTCGGAACTAGATTGGGTAACAACTGTAAGACGAACAACATCTGTCATCATTGGGCATCAAAGCCACTTCCGTGGAAAAAAGAACAAACAACACATAAATCCACTGATATGCCACAAAAGCCCATATCAATGTTATGAGAGATGATATAGATAGAGAAGAAATCCACATCAACCCCAAGGAGAAATGAAACAAGTCATTCGCCCCACCATTCTGAACCACAGTAAGCCCTAGAGAAAATATAATGTTGAAGAAATAACAACATCAAATCCAATAAAAACAAACCTACATTGTTTTCCTAGAAACATTTCTTGCAAACGCACGTACCCATAACACAAAAAGAAATCTCACAGATGTGTGTGTGTGAGAGAGAGAGAGAGAGAGGCTTGCAGTCAAAGACGTAAAAGAGAACCTCTGCACACAAGGTGTGAGAGAGAAAACAGATGTGCGAGAACTTCATTTTAATTGCATTCTTTCATGTTAAAAGTTAGGGGTTCGATTATGATATGGAAAAGATATGATATCAGAAAAACAATTTACCAATAAATTGGAATAAAAAACGTGATAGCGAATCAGGTGTCATTTATCAAAATTCATGGGTGGGCTTTGATTGGTCAAAACTCTTTCCATATCATATCTTTCCCGTATCATAGATTTTCCCAAAAGTTAAACCCATAATTTTGCAAGTCTCTGGGTTAAAAAAGCAACGAGCACACCACTACATGACCTATAAACTATATGCACATTTCTAACATGTTTCGTACTTATGTGTAATTGACGGGTCACATGATTCAAAGTACATATCTTCCCAAGGTCTTGATGGGTCTCATGGTTCAAAATATCAATACCTATGGCTGCATTTGGTTTGAGGGAAGATTTTGGCAGGATGGGATGAGAAAGGGAAAATGGGTGAAAATCTTCCATTTCTATTGTTTGGTTGCAAGAGGGAAAATCGACCCTAATAACAATTATTAATTAATTAGGTAATGAGTAATATTTGTTATTATTTTATATTTTACTATTAATTAATTTATAATTAATTAATATTGAGAAATAGTTAAATAATTACTAATTAAGAATTAATATTTTAATTTTTATATAAAATTTTATTTTATTAATTAATTGGTATTTTATTTGCATTATTAATTGTTTTTTATTATTTAACACTTTTGTTATTTATTTATTCATTAATTACATAGTTAATTAATTATTAACTAGTTAATAATACATTTTTGTTATTTAGTATTTTATTATTAATTAATTAATTATCATCACTAATTAATATTTTAATCTTTATTAGTTGATATTTACTTATTATTTTTTTTATTTTATCAATACCTATGCCTTAATTAATAATTTTAATATTTCAATATCAATTTTTAATAATTTTTAATTGATTATTTATGTATGCATTTGTTTTAATTAAATTATTATAATAACATAATTATTTCATTATTTTTTAATTAGTTAATTAATTAATTATAAACTATTTTGTTTTTAATTATTAATTATAAGATTAGTTTTTATTAGTTTATATTTTATTTTATTAATACTTATCACTTAATTAATAATTTTAATATTATATTCTAAAATTTTAGTTAATTATTAAATTACTTTTAATTATTTATTTATTTATTTTAATGTATTTATTAATTAATTTTATTAGATTATTTTAATAATAGGTTTTAAATAATTAACAATTTATTTACAGGTCACGAGTCTAATATTAAGTCTTAAAAATACAAAGGTATGTGTTTTTTGGGAAAATTGCATATTAGTACTTTGTACTTTAGGCCTAGTCTCACTTTGGTCCCCGAACTTCAAAACATGCCAATCCAATACCCAAACTTCAAAAACCGTGTCAATTTAATACCTATAGTTAGTAGTTTGTTAGTTAGTTATCTGTATCACGTGATGACATGTGCAATTTAAAACTTTTAAAAGATCAAAACTACCCTTCAAAAAACACTGTTCATTGCCTTCTACCTTGAGACTAAATAGAGTGGACAATGTACAATTGCATTAAGCAATACATGAAGCCATAAAAAACCAAATACATACATTAATATAAACACTCATCACTAAAATAGTGCTCCATGACCCAAATTAGATGACACCCAAAGGGCATTTGTGTCTTTTCACATGCCACTTAACAGTTGATTAACAATAGGTACTAAGTTGGCACATTTTGAAAGTTTAGGTACCGGATTGACACATTTTAAAGTACAGGGACCAAAGTGACACTAGGCCCAAAATACAAGGTACTAATCTATAATTTTCCCTGGTTTTTATTGTTAAACAAGTTTCCCCCTCCATTCCAACTTGTTTATAATCCCACATTTTTCCCATCACACAAATCAAACATGGGAATGGAAGAATATTTCATATTTTCCCTTCCCATCCCATAAACCAAACGAAGCCTATCATACCAAGTTCTTAAGAATCTGGATCTCCTACACATGGCATCTACACATGTTACTAAGTGAGTTGCACTTGTTACTTTGTCTTTGTTGGAGGTTGAATGCCTTTGTTTTGACGCTTCTTTACTTTGTGCCGTTTGCAGAGATTTTCTTGAGCTATTTCACTCCTAGTGTTCGTGGTTACTACTTTGCACAGCAAGTTTAGGGGATGTTTGGAACCGTGGCCGTTTTTCAAAAACACAGTGCCACACAGGATCCACATAGGCATTTCAACAAACGCCCATGTATCTCATTGTTTGGTTCAGCCGATTATTAAAAAATCGGGCATGTCTCAAAAATCGGGACCCCACCGATAATTTAGCGCTTCATGCATCGGTGAACCGTTTCCCCCAACAGTTGACTGATGTGTATCCTATGTGGTGCTTACCTGTCAGAACATACATGAAAAACGGTGATAAAAATCACCTTACCAAACATTATAGTGTTGCTCACTGCCTATATGACAGAAGCATTTTTTTTGTGAAAAACGAGTCTTGAAAGCATAGGTGTTTTTTCTTGAAAATTGGTCCCAAAAAGTGTCCACACTTCCAAACACCATGTTAGTTTGTCTCTTCTTGCTGTTTGTTCTCCTTTAACTGTAATGAATGAAATTAACGTTTTCTTTTGTCAGAGATTGGGTGTTGTGGTGTTGTTGACAGAGAGATCTCTCCTCGTCACTCTCTCGGGTTCAAATCTGAAATGATATGGAAGGATGTAAAAGACTGAAATAATCTATTATAATCAGATTGAATGAATCAGGTACCCATACTCAATCAGATTGCTTTACCAGACGAGAGGCAACAAACAGGACCTGATTTTGAAACCACTTAAACTTGATGAGAATAATGATAGTGAAGTCAAAGGGCTTCGATCTCAACCGTTTTCAAAGAGAGTGGTTGCCAATGAACTATATATATATATATATAGTTCAGGAAAGTACAACAAACTGTAGGTAGAAAATAAAAGACTAACAGAATTACCACCCTCTACACCCAAAATAGTATGCCAGTTAGAGACTATTTCTGTTTGAAAAATCATCAAGATCCTATGCTCAATCCATCATCCTAGAATTGCCAACACTTATGCATGACCAAACCAAATATTTTTCACTGCTTTCAAAGATATTTCCATTTCTTTCCAATTTTGTCTAACAAATAGCAAAGGAAACCCTAGTCCAATGAGGAACTCTGGTAGCTGGCGAAAAAAGGAACAATGAAAAACTTGCACAGTACCATGCATATGGAATAGACTTTATTGCCCAAGAAAGCTATTATATCCATCACACATTGGCATTAAGAGTAGGAAATGCAAGTGTTCCAAGTATACTGAAAAGAATAGCAATAATCAAACCAAAAAGGTATATCCAGAAATTTCTTATGTATATGAATGGTCAAATATTCATTTTGAAGCCATTGCCTAAGGGATTTTCCATTTACACCATAGTGGTTTGGTAATAAGTAAATTAGTTCAACAGTCAATTGTGTACGAAGCTCTTCATAGTAGCTAAATTATCCACTATTTACAGCAATAGAACACTTGCAGCTATGTGATTATTTGGTAATTATCAACTCTCTACATGCTGTAGGCTCCTATATCTTTAGTAAGGAGGTCCATGGTGCCTTGAAGGGATCATTTTACCTTTCAAAGCTGAGGATGTATGGCATTCACCATGTTTTCCAGAATCCCTTTACTTTTAATGATCGATTTTTACAAGATTAAGAGCATATTGATAAAAGAAAAATGAACAAAATCTTGAAGTCATAATATAAATGAATACCCCAAATTGAATTACTAGATTTCAGCATCTTAACCAAAAAAATGAATACCCCAAATTGACCTTCTATCAAACTATAAATGAATACAAAAGGAAAGGTGACAATAAATCACCTGAGAGAAAAGAAAGACATTAAAGCAACTTACACCCACATACTCTGAAAACGTAAACAAAGAGATAAACTCCAAATTGACCACCTTACCCAACTCAAACTCGAATGACCCTAAAAAGAACCCAAACACCCAACTTTCCTAATCCTCTTCCTCAAAACTTTCATCATGCCTGTCATCTTCTTCATCCCACTTATCACCTCTTTCTCTAGTTTCCATTTTCTTCAACCTCTTGTCCATCCTCTTTCTCTCAAACTCCTCAAAGGCCTTCTTGGAAAATTCCTCACCGCCCCCCAAAAAAGAGCAAGCCAAGACTTTTACCAATCTCGACTTCTCTTCGCCTCCTTCTCTTCCAGACTTCTATCAGGAAATCTTACTTCAGAGCTGGTGGCATATTCATCTTCTTTTTGTGTTGGCAGGTTTCCACCTGAGAGTCCGGACTGTTAAGAGCCCGAGAGTCCTCCTTTCCAGCCTCATCAGAAACTTGAGCTATTGCCTTCCCCCCTCTTCTTTTATATACCCTTTTGAAGTTTTTTGAAGGTCCTGCCCCAACTAAACCAAGTTTCAACTGAGAGAAAACCTTTGTTATATTAACAATGTGTGAATTCCTAACCCCATGGGATTTCTTGTGAATCTCTTCAACAGGAGTCACTGTAACAGTCTGTCACTCTCCTTCCTAGATCCACGCCTAACCTTCCAACCAACACTTTCTCACAAAGCCATTTATCAGCATCATCATTCTCAACTTGGGGAAGTGTGCAACAGGCCACGTCCATGCCATCAATTCTTCCATCGCCATTCCCTGAACTGCCTCCTAAATTCGTAGCAGCAATCCCACTCGAGTCCTTCTCATCCTCCTTCAAAGTCACAGTTTCGTCTTCCACCGCAGACAGATCACAACGAACCAATACATTCTCACTTTTGTCAGGGTTCTGGATAGCAACACATTCTGTGCTTCCCTCCACAGTCTTCACCGTAGCCTCCTTTTTCCTTCTTTTGAACCTGAATAAGCTGCTAAAATAACAATAAGTAATCATCCAGACGATACATCACATATTTCAAAACAAAAAGTAGCAAACAGTATTTTATGTAACATCCAATCAACCTTTAAAAGTTTCACATTAGTACTCATCTGCCTCCTACTTCAGCAGAATATTCCATAAAATATAATACTTTTGTGTAAGGGGAATTTTCCACCTCTTTTAATAAAATTGACATAGAAAAGAAACTAAATCTGAAAAGGTTAATCGCATTTAACCACTTACTCATTTCTGCCTATTTTACACCAGTCCTTAGGGCAGTTCATGAGACTGATATATATAATGAGCCGATATCGTCTCTCTGCCAGCCCCTTAGATGGCACTAGCATAAACCATGGCAATAGTACAGCTTGTAGCTAACAACTGATTATCTCAATAAGGAAAACAGAGGGGGATGATCAAAGGCCTTTTCCACAAGGATTCTTTTTTTTTATTTTGGTGTTTTACTTTCAACTTGTGCAGAACCTTGTAAATGCATGACAAATTGATCAATCAACTGAGCTGATTTCCATATTAATGGCTATTTTGATGGAGGATGGTAGAATGTTGAAATGGCCATCACTCCATCTACAAACTAGAAGCTAAAACAACCTAAATGACACTTAGCAGTACCAAAAAATCTGAAGTGTATTACATTATTGGGATTCCACAAAAGAGAGACATTTATTAGAAGGGCAGACAACCGTGCAGGTCAAAACTAATTCACTTTCAATGACATAAAAGATCAATCTGTGGATTGATCCTAAACATCACTATCTATATAGATTTGTAGCTGTTGGAAAATCTAAGGGAGATTTTCTTCATGGAGCAAGTGTAATTGAAAATAGTCCAATGAATAAAGAAATAAAAGGATTGGGAGCACAAGAAGCTTACCTGTCCAAGGGAGTAATCTATTCAGCAAATTTCTAGAATTTGCTATCAGCTTTACAGTTGGACCTTCCTTGACATCAACTTGGTAACCAATAATCCCTAGATGAGAGCACCAAAACTCAAGCTAAATACCTGAAATAGATTCAAGACCCTTGCTCACAGGCTTCTTTCCTTCAAAACTTGTCAAAAAAAAAAGCACCTCCAAAGCCAATCAAATGTAGAGGAAACATAAAGAAGAGAACTAGGATTATTATAGGGTCTAAAGCTAGAATTTGGGCCTAGCAACATGGGAATCAGCAGAATAGTTTAGGATTGGTAGGGAAAGTTAGGCTTAAAAAATAAAGGGATATAGAGAGAAAGAAATTATGTAAAAAATCCTATATATTTTCAAAAGTTGGAAAGGAAATATTTTTTAATATCTTGAAAAATAGGAATAATTAAACTAAACAGATTGAATAGGTGAGATATAGAGGGTGGCGGAGGTTGGTAATGACGGGGAACTCTAGGATTTCTAAGTTGAATGGTTTCTATATACAGAAGTTTCTTGTCTAGGTTTTGCACGAACTTGATAAAACTTGAAAAAATGGTGGAAGAAGTTTACTTAGAGGTTGAAGACAGGTTGAATCAGGAAAAAAAATCATTGTCTTAGATGGAATTATAGCTCCAATAAATATTTAGATTAAACAAGTAGAAAAGAAGAAAAAGTAGAGGAGAAGAAGAGAAAACAGTAAAAGAGTAAGAGTTTTAGAAAAGAGAACCGACGCAAGCTCCAAGGGATAAAAAAGAATTTCTTATTCTATTCTGCCCTGAAGATAATAAGGATGCTCGGGTTATTGTTCATCATAATAATTGTTTTAAAAGGCATGGGAGGTGTATGCCTGGAGGTGCATCTCTAGGCAAGATGTTCTCAAAATGCCTTGAGGCATACACCTCAGAACACCTTTTGCATGAGATGTACCAGAGGCATACACCTCATGCACACCTCACATAGAACGAAAAGAAAATGAAAAGAAAGGAAAGGGAAGGGAAAGGAAGTTTAGGTCATTGACAGAACCCCCCTTTCAGCTAGTGTTATGAATCCTCATTCCTTTTAATACAACACATTTTCCATCAAAAAGAAACAAGAACTCCCCCCCCACCCCTCCTCCTCCTAGGAGGCTTGTGCCTTTTGCATTCTAAACTATGCCTCAAACCTCAAGGTAGAAGAATGCCTTGCATCATGCCTCCGCATTTTAAAGCATTGACCATAATTATGAAATTGCCACTGCACACCCAAGTAAGAGAAAAATATATATAGTCCAACCTCTAACCTACCAAGCCAATGACTAAAACCTTACCCTAATAATGAGTTAATGACCTAATTAGGAATTTAAAATGACCAAACCCCACACCAAAATTGTTAAATAACAAAATTGCCCTATGCCTATGACTCAAAATTTAGAAAAAAAAATCAGGAAAAAACTGAAGTTTCTTAGACTCAACTTGAGGACCACTTTGATGCTCATATCACACAGACAATACCAGGTAGTTACCCCTGCCACCATCAGAATAAAATCGACCATTCACAAGGGGATTCTGATTATCATGAACTTTATTAGCCACATGAAATTAACAATAAATTATGTTCCATTATCAAAATAGCACCAAAAAAGATGTCAGACACATGCACTTATTTTTATTTTTGGTAGTAAAATAAACTTCATTAAAATTAGAAAAAAAAAAGACACAAGAAAAGTGACCAAAAGTCACCTGAGAGAAGAAATAAGAGCCCTAAACAGTGATTTAAAAGGCAGACCTGGACACACAGTCAAGGTGCACTTTAGGGTCTGTGCTTTGCCTAGGCCCACATACAGCCCCTTTGAACAAGTGTGTGCCTAGTGCACCTAGGCATGCGCCTGGTGTGCTTTGTGCCTCAGCTCAGTTGTGTGCATTTGTTAATTATTGTGCTTTTTTGTTTTTTTAAGCAAGTGGCTGGGCCAGGGGCTCTGCCCCGAGTTATAGCAAAAATATCCCATCACCTAGGCAACTAGACGACAAGGGCCCCCCTATCACCTAGTCTTGCCTCAGCACCTTGAAAACTATGCAGAGATATCTTCTTCACTGATGGAGCCTTTCTTCCTTTTCTTCTTTTCAGCCATTACATCTCAACTTGAGACAACCAAAAACCCTAAACCCTAAATCCCCAGTATAATAAATGCAACTTAGTGCAGGAAAATTCTACAGACACCTGCACATATAGATCAACAAATTCAGCATCTGCCAAAGTGACCATATCCCTAGAAAAGGCATCTAGTGTCCAGGTGTCAAGATGAAAAACATCCATCCCATTTCTCAAAATTCAGATACGTGTCACCTGGAAATTAGGTTATTATTTACAAGCAAACACCCTTGCCTAGGAGATCTAAAGGAGAAAAGATAGGAATAAATGGATTATCTAATTATTTGATTATAGACTTTTCTCTAAAACAATTATCACAACTTTCCATTATAGAATAGAAATCAATGGTAGAGATCATCTGGACTGGTACAACGTTTGGTCCAATAACCTCTTAGGTGAGACCTATGACAAGACCAGTCCTAATCCTCTAAATAGACCTCCATATGCACTATATTCACGATTATAGCCAATCCAAGCAAATATAAAGTAGAACCTAAATTTCTCCTTTGTAAAACAAACATAAGAAAAAGGTTCTTATTTGGAAACAGGTCCACTTGAAAGGAGCAATGCTTCTTGCCAACAAGAGTCAGACCACCTCAATCATCCCCCCAATGCACGAACTACTCCTCAACCGCAGCCAAACATAAAAGAACCTTAAAAGTTGAAATTGCTCCCCTTAGCACAAATGCCATACAGCCATAGCATTTCATAAAACCAACATACAAACAGCTAGTGCAACAGACAGCAGAATCACTATTTTCAGTTCTAAAACAGCTCTAATCCAGCTAGACAAATTCCGCTACTTGTTCTCTGGTTAGATTGCTTTAGTTAATGTGATCAGTTGGAATGCAGCAAACTTTTTCAAGCTGTTAACAAGGTTATTGGGGTGAAGAATACTATGACAAATTATTGCACCAGGGCCTCAAGGTGGAATGAAGAGGTTCAAAATATAATTAGATTAAAACAAGCATGTTACAAAGAATGGAAAAAATCTAGAAATGCAATAAAAGTGGAAAAAATATAAAACCATAAGAAAGAAAATTAAAAAGAGAGCAAATGAAGTTAAATGTAGGGCCTTTGATGAGCTTTATCATAACTTAGGCACTAAAGAGGGAGAAAAATAAATGTATAAATTAGCAAAGATAAGAGAAAGTAAAGGTAGATATTTAAACCATGTTAGATGCATTAAAGATGAAGATCAAAGAGTCTTGGTAAAAGATGAGGACATCAAACAAAGATGGAAAAACTATTTTCGAAAAAATATATATTAAATGAACAACAGGGAAATGGTGCTAATGGAGGCACTAAATAAGATGAAGGGAAAGGCGTCAGGGCCTGATGGGATTCCAATAGAAGTGTGGAAAGGTATGGGAGAGATAGGCTTGTTATAGCTAACTAAGTTATTTAGTAAGATAGTGAAAAAAAAATGTATGATGATTAGAAAAACAGTAGTATGGTGCCCAAGAATCAAAGTTTCATGTTGTATCAGCCGAAATCGACCAATACGTATTGTATTGGTGTGTCACCGATACACGAAATGCATGGTGTTATTCAGGGGTTAGGCAGGCCTTATACAACCCCCTTGAAAGGTTTGTATAAAAAAATAAAAATAAAATAAAAAAAAAAAAACAACTCAAAAATATATAGTATATAACGCGTCCTCTACAAAAGTCCTATACACCCCATCCGACGTATCGAATTGTATCGATATTTGGAACCTTGATGGTGCCTATATTTAAGAACAAAGGTGATATACAAAGTTGTAATAACTATTGGGGGATAAAACCTATGAGCATACTACTTTTGAGACAATTGATAGAAAACTTGGGAGAGAAGAAAGATCTCCATATGGTGTTCACTGATCTAGAAAAGGCATATGATAGAATTCCTCAAGAGATAGTATGGTGGGTCTTCGGACTTTCAACTCAGAGTTTTTTAAAGGA